ACAATGAACATAAAGATATCATTGATATTCAATAGTATTTTCACCTTACTTATACCTCCAGAAAGGTCAATATGTGTGTGTAGTAGTCTGGATCAAATGGGTTAGACCAGTGGCTGGGGAGAAAACAGCAATGAATCCAAAAGACGTAACAAAACCATAAACAGCATGTTGATTGGGAATTTAGTTACAGAGGAAAATACAGTGGAAAAACAAGAGCTTGAGAGGTGATCAGACTGCAAATCCTGAACAACACAAAAAGACAAGAAGATGCATCAGACACATCAAAGACAGCGATCAGCATCAGCAAGCCCATCCAAGCCACCGTTGCAAGATGGCAGCATCAATTTGTCAACCCTTATTTAGAAACAGCCAAGATAAAATTATTAGATCCAACAGTGTAACAGAAAATCCAAAAATTAAGCAAAAAACTACGATAGCTACTAGATTCTTGAAGAAACCTAAAGGGAATAAATCAGTACTGATCAATGAGCACTGAGCAATGAGACGCTATTTATTTGAACTAGGATACAGAAGTTAAGCTAGTCTTAAAATGGCTGGGGTCTACCTCAAAAATCCTTCTTAATTGTGCCAGGCTCTACACTGAGATCCTAGTTAAACTAATTACCTCCTTGAAGACCAAGCCAGGTTTTGTAAAGGAGCAAACTGGAAGGGTTGTATCACAGTAGCTTGAGCTTTTTCCCCCTTCTATCCCTAAGGAAGTATAAACCAAAATTACACTAACCTAGAAGAAAAAAAACAAACTCATGGAGGCTTCCAGATCAAATCCTTCCAGATCATTTTTATGTAATTACAGAATTAACAGATGACATGAAAGTTACGGAGTTCAGTAAAACCTCTGACACAGTATCTAATAACACAGATGATGTGTCCTGCATAGGTATACAGTCACCTGTGGAAATACAGTTACCTGGATGATACGGTGGTCCGCCGGGGTTTGATTTTGGCCCCCCCCCCCCCCCCCTTTTTGTTTTTTAGCATGTCTGCTAATCATCTGGGAGATGCACAGAAAATATACTAGATTAGCGCATTGGTTTCAGTGAATAGCAGTTGACTGCCAAACTTAGAAGAAGGCACAAAAAGATATAATAGTATTTACTTAGCTATAAGGATGGCGTAGGAAAAAGTGTAGCAAATTGAGCCTAAATAAAAGGTGACATTAAATGTGCTACAAATGAACAAAAGGATGTTGATGAACTTTGACGTTACCACTGAAAATAGAAAACTCTAGAGAATAAATCTCTTTATAGCACTGGGTTGAGTATATGTGCCGCAGCTTATGACACATATTAGGTCTTCCAGCAGCAGAAATATAATACTCCCAAGTTTACTCATATTTATATACACACCTGCAATACTATGCCCTTCACTACAAAAAAGATTCAAAAATTGCAATCAAGTGCTGAAGTAGCAGTCTGAGCTCTGGGCGCAAATATTTAATACTGTGTAATTCTGTCTTCCCCTTATCTGCAGCACAGGTGATTTACAGGAAAAAGCTGTATATCTATCTGTTTATATTTATCCATATATATCTCAAACTCAGCTGCAGAAAGCAGAAAGCCAGCAAGTCATTTCCTAATAAAGGCATATGAAGAAATAACACAAGCGGATAGGCTTGGAAAAGAGAGGTCAAGGAATGATGTGAATGCTATCTACAAATAACTGAAAGGTGTCTAGAATAAGAAGAAAGCCCGGGGAAGATGATTTACCTGTTAGTAATAGTATGACTTTGTTTACAGAGAGAACAATTAGCCTTGACTAAGGCGAAAGATGATTAGAGTTAGACTAAAGAATAAACTGCTGAATGCAGCTTGGGAAGTTTCAACAGTGGAATAATCATATACACAGCCATTTTAACCCAAAGCTGCTGCTGCAAAAAAAAATGAGCTTGCCCACTATGATTAAACAAACATATGATAACATATTTGCTGGTAACTGAGCCTGAATCCTCCTCGACTTTTAGGCGCTTTTTATTTCTCCCTGGTTTTATCACTCACATTTCAGAATGCAAAGAATAAATTAAGATATAGGCCCATTTCCCTCTCCTCTTTTCCCCACCCTGAAAAGAGCCAATAATCTTTGAAAACGAGGGAGTGCATGAAGTTACCATTTTATGTTATATCACAATTCCAAAAACACCGTGAAATTTAACAAAAGATTTGGCCACGCTCCCCTCTGGAATAGCTCAGGAGAAGCCCCGCGGCCAGCCTGATGGTGTTTGCTCAGATGGAAAAAACAGGACGTTCTCCTCCCGAGTCAGTCACCAAATCTCCAAGGGATTACATGGGATTCAGTGGATACCACGGACGTTCAAGAGCAGCTTCTGCTGTGCTTCTGTACTGGTTTGCAGGCTTTTAGGCTCTAAGGTATCTTCTGGATAGTGTGGAGCAAAAACTGACAGGCTACCAGTGCCTCTGCTGGCCCTTGAATCTCTCCATCCTGCAGAGAGACTTCCACAGCATTAAGGAGTACGTATCAAGTTCTACTTGGATTTTACAGGTAGTTGTGAACAGAAGGACTAATCAGCATTTCTCCTTTCCCCAGCCTTTGCTATTTAGAAAAGCTGTAAGTGGGCAGGAGAAACACTGGTTTTAGGGTCTGAAGAAGCCTATTACAGATTTGCTGGCCCATAACAGCTAAATAAAGATACAGCACTGCAAGAAGCAGTTCTAATAACTATTCATCCTCCTTTTTAGCAGACTCTCAATGCTGCACAGAGAAAATTTTGATCCTCGTGTTTTGAGGTTTATTTCTCATGGCTTTAATCTTTTCTCACATAGGATCTGAAGCTACAAACATAATTTCATAGTATTCCACGTAGTGATACAAGAGGAATCTGGTACTCTCACAAAAGACTACATATACTTAGTAAAATCAGTCCATCAACGTTGGATCTAATTATAGATGGAGTGTTACTTTGGCCCTATTCCTAAACATTTGGGTTTTTATGAAAACCTCCATCTGAACCAAATTCTGCAATTCAGGCCCACTTCTGGTGGTGCATGAAAACAGTTATACAACATTTGCCCCCCTTTCATATATAAAATAATCACGCCCATTAAACATGAATCTTTTCTCACTGTTAGTCAAACAGCACGAGCCAGTTCCTTCCCTCATCCCAAAACCAGTCTATATGCAGTAGGATGATGTTCTCTGATCACTCTTTTCTGATCCTCTCCTATTCGATTCTCTATCTATTGCTTAAGGGATTGCAAAACCAGATTATCAGATCAGAGGGTATCTGGATTCCAGAGCAGAACTGCCATAGATTATGAACCATGCTGACCTGGTATATTAAGCAAAAGGCCCAACATAAAAAAATATAAATAATGTAAATTTATTCCCAGTATATTCCATATGAATCCTGTGAGCTGGTGAATTTCTGCAGCAGACTATGAAATCAATTTACTCCTCTTACTGGATTAGATCAGTACGCTAATTAGTTCTTTCAAATTCTAATTTTAAATTATTAGTAAAATAGCCAGCTTGGTACTAGACCAGCTATTCCGTTAAACGGCTGATAGGTCTATTGTATGAATAGGTACACAGAGAACATCACAAGTGAAATAGTATTACAAAAACATATCCCAGCTAGTGGCTCTGACGACACTCTGACACTTAGGGACCTTAAACTTTCCACTGACATCAGTGGAAAATACAGATCTAGTCCCACAAAATTGCATGTAGGGTTTTTTAGTGAATAGCTCTGATTACCTAAAGAAAAAATATATTTTTAAAAATAACTGACAAATTAAATGCAATCTTACAACTTTTTTACATTGCTGAAGAATCACCAGTAAAAAATTTTATTTTGGTTTTAAAGCAGAGTCCTTATGAACTTTGGAATGGTAATAGGTGAATGAGCTCATCTATGATACTATAACATCAAAATTAACCTCATCACTCTGCGTTTAATGAACAAGGGTTCATTAAAATATATTTTCTCAAACTAAAAGAAAAAAACAAATTAGTGAACCAGTGAGATCCGAACCATGAAAATACAATCCTCCAACTTAAAAACTATAAACTATATAAACTATAAAACTATACCTGTTTTATAGTATAAACTCGTAATGAAATTTTCTGTTGTTCCTACCTGTCCGTAAGGACACAAAGTCAGTGTAGAAATTCTGAACAAACAATGAGAAATTCCACCACTGGGGCTGTATGAAACTTATATTTCCGCTCACAAATAATCATTTGCTTTTTTGTTTGTTTAAGATATTTTAGATTCTGCTTTTGGTTTTTCACCCTTGGTGTATCATGCTGAATTAAGAATATGAAAAGCCTCCTATACCAAAGAAAAAAACAGTTCAGAATTTAACTTCGTTTAACTTTGAATTTTGCATGTGTGTGAAAGTTTATACGTTTCACACTGAGAACGTTTTTAGCATTCAGCCCAGATTTGCCACTGTGTGAAACTCATCCAAAATGGTCAAAGTGAAAAATGACAAGTGCTTTATGATAAGTGCTCCATTTTCATTAAGCATAATGGATACTATTTCCAAAAGCACACATTTTGGCAAATGCCTTTCCTGCATCAAATCTCCATCTCCAGTGGACCATTTTCAAACTCAGAATTAAGTGCATAGAAAATTGATGCTTTAATTCCGAGCAGTTTCTCATCTAGTCAACAACATTCTGGGCTGTTAAACATTGAAAATATGAAAATTTTTCAAATTTGAGACATATTCTTGGCAAACATCTCTTATCCAGGTCATCTGGAAGATTCATGAAGGTAGGTTAAAGTTAGGTTCCATACAGCTCTTGCCAGAATATCAGCTATAGCCATCATTTTGGATTTGTTCCTTCGCAAACAGGTTAGACACATCTAACTGTACATTCTGACTGAGAAAACAAAATCATAGTAATCCTAACTCCATTTTCTACAAGAAATTACATTTTAAAGCCCTGTCTGGCAGAAGTCAAAGTCTACTTTGGCCACTAGGCAAGTCTAAAAATATACCCTTGTTTCAATTTACCTTATTGACATCCATTCGCAACTTCTCATTGTTGGCACTGGCAGCTTTTTCTGCTGCTTTCTTTTGACGCTGAGGTCCTCTGCCAAAGAAGATGTAGTTGACCAATGCATACTCCAGCAGAGCCATGAAAACGAAGACAAAACATCCCATAAGATACATGTCAATGGCTTTCACGTATGGAATTTTGGGAAGAGTCTCTCGAAGATGGGTATTAATGGTTGTCATTGTGAGCACAGTTGTGATTCCTGGAAAAAGATTGACAATTCTATTGATTGAATTCACATTAATTTTCTAGCATTACAGCTTATAATATTCAAATCCTAGCACTGAAAAAGTTCTAGATGTACTTTCTTCTGGTGGAAAAAAATCCCACATCTGGTCTATATTCCTTTTTTTTTTGTACAACAAAAAATTACACCCATAATAAATTGTATTTAATCAAAAAGACAGTAATTGCATCCTACAAGCACACTTTGTAATTAGTTAACTTTAAACTTCTCTAATAGTCTTAGTCATAAATTAGCAGTCACTGTATCTTGCTATCCTTCAGCACTTTTGCACTGTCTTCAAGCCTGAAGGAAAATACTACACAGAGAGGCCTCACAGAACTCAAACAGTATCCTATAAAGCTAAAAGGTCAAATTCTCAACTGTGTCTTTTATGGTGATTTACCCATTTTATCCATACTAAAGATGTACTGGCAGGAATCAGTCTGATTTATGCAAAGTTTGGCAACAGATACTTATATTTATTTTTGTAACATGCCTGGATCCTCTGATAAGGGGCAGAGTATAAACAAACACACATGGGATTAGTGATGAAATATAAAATAGTACTCTAGAGATTAATTAGGGAAATGGTTTTGCTTTTAGAATAGAAGATAACAGAACAGAGAGAAACATCTCTATTTATATTTAAGGAGAAATTAGTTCCACAACCCTAGTAAAACTTTATTTAATTCATACCTGAAAGGAAAAGTAATTTATATTCCATAATACAGTGATGAATGTGTATTCTGGGCTGCCATGAGCAAAAACAAAGTAAATGCATTCTCTTTGGATGAAGAACAAGCAATAAAACAACAACAGAAAATGCTGAGACAATTAGGCTAATTCTGGTTACAATGATTATACAGTTAGCCAATTCAGACATGAAATCACTTTAATTTTTATTTAAATTGTGATGATTTAAATGCTGATTGAAATAATACAAAGCTTAACAAGCTAGACATAAAAAGATCTCACAGATCTATTTTTCAAATCAGGCACTATCCACTAAGCCAGAAGCAAGAAAAAGCATTCAGCTAATGCACACTGCATGAGATGTGTAAAAATGCCTACCTAAAGCAACTCTTGCAGCTGAAGCATCATAATTAATCCAGAAGGAAACCCAGGACAGGATAGTGATCAGAATAGAAGGCATGTAGGTCTGCAGAATGAAGTAACCAATGTTTCTCTTAAGTTTAAAGCTGAGAGACAGCCTTGGGTAGGCACCTAAAAGAGAATATTTGGCATGGCCATAATTTACTTGTACAAAGCCTGAAAACATTTTCCTGTCATTTCAGTTTTATTGTTTCGTGCATGCAGTAAATAGAATTGAAAGATCCAGGATAATCAGCCACAGTATTTCTGATAAGAACTGGGATTAAACGGTCTATTATTCTAAGTGTACGAGGCTGCTGCTAGGTCCGCATCTACTGAAAATCGTAATATTCAATGATCGACAGCCAAAATATACTTCAGGGCATCGAAGCATACAAATGCTTCTTTCCTTACTAGCTGTGGCATACCTCCTTCTCCAGCCTCCTCTTCAAGCAATACAACACCTCCCCTTCAGCAATGGACAGGAGAAATATTTTGGAGTATGAAACACTCCTTGAAATGGGTGCCTAGAGATCGTTGAAATGGGTGCCTACATATTCACGCCCCGTTTCTGCTTGATTTGGGAGAATTTGGGATGTACAGTCCTATACTCTCCTCTCCAAAGATAATTTCTATCTATAGCTAGGAAGTCAATTTGAGGGCCTTTTAAAATTCTGAATATATCTAGTAGCTTTCTAGACTAAGCAGAGAACACCAAGCAGTGATAGCCCAACTCTTTTCTCCCTTGTGTGATTCAATATGTCCCTGAAATGCTCTAGTCATATGCTTGCTAGCACAGACAATTACAAATCCTGTTGAACCAGGATTCGAAAGCTTCTGCAGTGAAGGCAAAATAATTAACCCAAGACCTCCACAGCTTGGCACAAGGAACATCTGGAAGTAATAAAAGAAAGATTTCCTACAAGTTGGGTTTCTTGTTGGAATTAGGGCACTGACGTGCACAGCTGGTTTAATTAGTTTTCATAGGAAAACAGAAAATATAGCCTGTTTGACTGAGCCGTAACATTACAGACTATCGTATCCTGCTCATATGTTAATGAGTGATACCTTATATACTGGGGAAACTGCAATAAAAATTACTCCTTTTAAAATTCACATTGCTGCTCTAATTTATTCCTATTTCTAAAATTTTTGCTCAGATCCTGCATTGCACATTGAGGATTAACCCGTTTCTAAAACTCTTCCCGGTGAGTTCCCCTTTTAACCTCCTCTCCACAAACCTGTAGAGAAAACAACGTTCTTGGTGATAAGCTTGTAGTCTACAATGGAGAACTGCGGCAGTTCAATCTTTGTCACTCCTGTGACTGCATTATCACCCCCACGCCAGTAAAATTCAATGTCATCTGTTGTATAGCCATCTATAAAAGCAGAAGCAAAGAGTTAAAATGTATATCATGTCATGCACAACGTCCAGTGAATTTATTCAGAAAATAACTTCAAATATAGTTCTAAAAATAAAATTAATAAAATTAATAACATAACAGATATACTCACCTAGACTCATGTAATTCAAATATTATTTCAAATGGCAATTCTAGGTTGTTTTTTTTTTAAATACTAATATATTCATAAAGGAAACCTTTAAAATGACATTAAGATTAGCCATATCCCATACGTACATAGTGGCTTTACATGTCGCAGCTTAAGGTAAATGCTGATCCCACAGCTGCATAAACAGTGTGGGCTGGTGGTAATTTTTGCACTGGGCTGTAACCAGCTGGTTACAGAAATGTGAGCCGGCCACCGAGAGGGGAATGCAAGAGCCTCACTGCTGTCTGGCGCGCCACGATCAACACAGGAAAGAGGACAGAGTAGTACAGCTAATACACTAGTTCAGTGCACAGTATCTTATGGTATTTGCTCTGTATGCAAGGCAGTTTACAATCAGCCTGTGTTTGAAAAGGACACAGATTCTGGTTCACACCCATATGATTTTACTTATAAAACAGAGTCGTTCCTTTTCGGAAAAGGCTTGAATGGAATGAAAGATGGTCACAGTTAGTGAGGCACTCAGGAGAAGCATCTACAGCTCTTACCACATGGCTGCAAAACAGAAGGTCCTTATCATGCAACAGCCATCGCTCCGGATGACAAAATAAAAAAAATAAAAAATAAAAAAAAGAGGTAGTGCTAGTGATCACCAAGTCTTAATATGTATTATTTCATGCAGACGAAATAAGAATCTGGGCTCTCCAACCAGCAGACAAGCTGATTTGCACACACTTCAGTTGGATTACAGAACTGATCAGTGGACAACAGAAATGAACTCGCTACAGAAACAGGAAATAAGTGATCCATGAAGTTTGGTAGCAGATTAAAGCTTTTTGTTGTTGAAGATCAAAAATAGAAAGAATCCTGTGACAGAACTACGATTATCTACAGTCTTCTAGGGAACTTCCTTAATAAATCTTGAAATGTATTTGAGCTTGCTTTGACTCTCTCACCACAGATACAAGAAACAAAACTAAACACCAGTTTAGAGTGCTTGAACGTGACTTGATTTCAAGGAATAGCGCAGATCACCCATTTTGTGATTATCTAGAATTTATAAAACTGTTCCCACACACCGTTATTTCTGATAATCAAAGTACAACCCAAGTGCACAGCAGCAGCAGAAGGTAAACAAGGATGAAGGTGAGAACCCAATAATCTGTAAACAACGAAATGACCATAAAAATCTATTCAACACACAGTAAGTTTTAAAGCATTGTCATAGTTACATTGTTATAACATTTTCACGGCAATTTCAGTTTTGTCTATGTAGACTCTTTCCTTATGTTTTTCATGGGCTAACAGCAAATCAAAAATAGTCTAAGGGAAACAAACAGAAGAATATTTTTGAGTATTAGAGCTGCATCATTCCTAATGGACAGATTTTGAATAGACTGTCAGAATCAAGAATTCAAGACATATTCAGCTCTTCTTTCAAAGTTGTGACACTGACAGCAAGGTAGAGGAGAAAAAAGAAACAGATGTTTGTAAATTTTGTGAAATACGTTCTTCATTAAATTTCTATTTCCCCAAAAAGTTGACTAGCTCAGAGTGATGACCTCAACAAAAGAAAAAGAAAAAGAAAAAAAAGGACTATATCTTCTAAATAAGCTTCAACAGTTAAAGAAGAAAAATATCTCCAGTGTAGAACATATGTATACTTATATATACATAAATCAGTGGTCACTGATTTGTTTCAGGTCATACTTTCCCTCCTTTTTCACAGACAAAAGAATTATCAAAGGAACAGCTGAACACTATTTGGAATAACTTTACATCAAATACAGCTTCCCTCCTCTGTTCAGACAGCGCCATCAACAAAATTAAAATTGGCTAAATTCCTCTATACTGGATTTGTAGGAAACTCAGATCTCACGAATATCATAATCTTTCACATCTATTGTATATAACTTGTTTAGAGCCTAAAACATAATAGATCTAAAAAGGAGCCAAAATTATTGCCATCTGTCAGCAGAATGCCTGTCCTCTATAATCAAACAAGCATTAGCCACGATTCCACAATTGTCTTGATGCTTCTTACACACCTTATTACACAATAAAGTACGTTGAACCTTCATTGCAATCATTAGAACCCACAATCTTCAAAGTTGGATTTTGAAGATCAACGTGTAGTTGAACTTTTGCTTTTCATCCAATGCAACTTTGGAGACGAAAACCTTTACCACGCTACATAAAATTGTCTCAGATAAAACACACTTCAAGACAGTTGAGCATTTATCAACAATACGCTGTATTTAGAGATAAGAACAGTTTTAGCACAATGATTTCCAATGGATAAGCAAGGCGTTCTTAGTTCGGCCAAGATTTGTTAGGATCGATTTTCAACTGTTCTATAGTATCAGTTAAATGATTTCAAAAAAGAGTCAAATTACAGACTTACCCAGGACATGGGAATTGTTTTGTTCTCATGAGGAAATAATGTATTTTGCCGCTTAACTACGATTTTCTGAAACTGCCTAATTACATGAGAACTTCCCTCCCTATCTTTTCTTCAATTAACCTTGTTCCACTTCCTCAACAGCCTAAAGATAGCAAAAAGGTATACGATAAAAAAAGAGTGCAATACTTCAAAAGTTTCTTCCCTTCAGAAATGACCTGAAATACTGAGATGTTTCTAAGTATTGGACACTAAGAAACGCAGGAGCACTTGTCCTTTGCCGCATTTGCGTGCGTAACTGAGATTACCATAGTTTCTGAACTGAGCTAACTTGAATAATGAAATGTACATCTGAAAAACCTTTAACAGGATTTTGTCATTTTTAATTTAGCTTTTTTATCTTCAATATTTCTCATGGCGAGTTGATACCATATCATACACCTTGGCTTGGACACTGATAATGAAACACCTTGGCAGCTCCTCTCCTTCAGTGGACTGTGGGTGCAGATGTCTCAGCCTGCTGGCCCAGGCCCCTGGCTCTCCAGTGAGTACCTGGCACACCAAGGGAGTGCCAGCTAATGGCCTTCAACTTTGGCAAATTGTTACTTACCACTTCAATAACAAGAGCTGTTTTAACTTTCCCAACTAGTGTATGGAAAGAAGCTCTCTGACCTTGCTATGACAAACACAGGGACAATGGCCAAGCAGCTGCTTGACAGGAAGGGAAGTTACTGTCAACACTAGGGCACCGGATACTAATAAGCTGTCAGCACGATCCTGGATTTTAAGTACTGCTAGGTTTGCTTCATTTGCTTGTAAAAAGGTATTTTTCCAGGAAGGTACATGGATGGAGTTCATTAATGATGGTGTTCATGGCAAGACAGACCCATTTCAGTAAGACCTTTAAAGGGGACATAGCTTTTCCAGTATTGTCTGAAGCACAAATCCCTCATTCTGTGCAGTAAGTTCTCCGTCATTTTTCCAAGGGTTACGTGGCATCAGGAACATGGGCATATTCTGCAGACCTGGAACAGATCAGGTTGTCACGATGCCCTTTACTTTTCTGGTCACAATTCTATCTCCAGAAAAAAGGTGACAGCTTAATGACAAAATATTTCCTTGTCTATCACCACTTTGTATTTGCCAGGTCTCATTCAAGACTTTCAGAGACAAAAATAAAATAAAATAATGCAAAATGAATAAACTGGCTGATCTTGAGCTGTAATAGCAAGTACATTTTATGAGAAATATAAAACAGCATCCTGTGAAAGTTTAGAAAGAATAATACATAGCTTGGTGAGAGTTGACTCTCACTTTGTAGATACTGTTTAGTTTTGCTGATACTGTATCTCAAACCTACCCTACTAATTCCAACAGTAACTTCCAGATTCTAAGACTATTTACTGAACTCTGCATGAGTAATCAAGAATATATGTTGAAGTAATTTAATTATTGAGCTTTATTACTCTAATTAATCTTTTACCTTCCTTTCTGTCAAAAATTACATGCTAAAATAAGTTCCAGTAAGAAATTCCTTTTTTATGTAAGAGAAAAACTGCTTAAAAAAGAGCCCACCTGGCTATTCTTTAACATCTGTTAGTAGATCTTTTCTGCCTGGCTGCCTACCCACTGTTTAGTCCTGAAACTTCTAATCACGCGGGCTTTCACGGGGAACTGCCAGATTTACCTTCTAGCACATTGTCATATGTCTCAGCCTTCTCCCTCTGCCTATAAAGATAAGAGAGCTGATTAAGCTGCTCCTTGTATTCTAACAGCCTTAAAATTCAGCAAATAACCACAGCTACTTCTTGAGTGGAGCTGAACTCCTTTGAAAATTGCACCCAAAAGTTCAAACAAAAGACTCCAAAGCAGGCAGCTCCGGGCTGCTGTGGGGAGGCTGTGCAGAACCTCCTGCCACCGACGCCAGAGAAACGTTAAGCTGAGGCTTTGATGCTGAATGACAAGACTGGTTAGTGGGTATCAATAAGAAGAATTTCAGGAACTATCTTCAAGCTTTCATTGAAATACTCCTCTTTCCTTCCAAAGAGGATAAATCACCCCATTCATTTCATAACATGGAGAAGGAGAGAAAGGAAATATTACAGTGATCTGCAAATGAATGCCATTGCGTACTGCTAAAGTACCCAAAGATAATTGAATATAAGTGTAATATCTGCAGAACATCTGCCAGAAAAGAGAACAGGCCTATTCATGTCTCTAGTGGATGTTTTACAGATATTAAATTCCAGTTACCTGTGGCTATAATAAACCCTTTCTGCAGGTATTTGGGCCTCAAAATATCTCTATTTACAAGTTAAAGTTATTTTTAAAAGACCAAACAAATTTGAAGAGTAATAAGCAGTCTAGAAAGAATCAGCTGTGGCTCTTGACAAGGAACAGACGGAATTAATAAATGCAAGATCAATATTCTAAATTATCAGATCTCATGTCAGTAACATAGAAAGTAAA